TTGACATTTGTAGGGTTTCTCTCCAGAATGAATTCTTTGATGTATAGAAAGTTCTGAGTTATAGCGAAAGGCTTTGCCACATTCTTGGCATTTGAAGGGTTTGTCTCCAGAACGAAGTTTTTGATGTCTATAAAGGTGTGCGTACTGGTTAAAGGCTTTGCCACATTGTTGACATTTGTAGGGTTTCTGTCCAGAATGAATTCTTTGATGTACAGAAAGGTTTGCGCACTGGTTAAAGGCTTTGCCACATTGTTGACATTTGAAGGGTTTCTCTCCAGAATGAATTCTTTCATGTTTAGTAAGGCTAGATCTAAGAATAAAGGCTTTGCCACATTCTTGACATTTGTAGAGATTCTCTCCAGAATGAATTCTTTGATGTCTAGACAGGGTTGATTTACAGTGAAAGGCTTTGCCACATTCTTGACATTTGTAGAGTTTCTCTCCAGAATGAATGCTTTGGTGTTGAGTAAGGCTTGAACTAACACTAAAGGCTTTGCCACATTGTTGACATTTGTAGGGATTCTCTCCAGAATGAATTCTTTGATGTACAGAAAGTTCTGACTTACGGTGATAGGCTTTGCCACATTCTTGACATTTGAAGGGTTTCTCTCCAGAATGAATTCTTTGATGTTTAGTAAGGTCAGAACGAAGAGTAAAGGCTTTGCCACATTCTTGACATTTGTAGGGTTTCTCTCCAGAATGAATTTTTTGATGTCTAGACAGGGTTGAGTACCGGTTGAAGGCTTTGCCACATTCTTGACATTTGAAGGGTTTCTCTCCAGAATGAATTGTTTGATGTCTAGACAGGGTTGAGTACCACTTAAAGGCTTTGCCACATTCTTGACATTTGTAATGTTTCTCTCCAGAATGAGTTCTTTGATGTCCAGAAAGGGTTAAAGAACTGTTAACGCCTTTCACACATTCTTGACATTTGCAGGGTTTGTCTCCAGAATGAATTCTTTGATGTCCAGAAAGGTGTGAGTGTTGCTTGTTAAGTTTGTCACAATCTTCATAGTTGTAGTGTTTTCGTCCACTATGAACACTGTTATGTGTACGATATTTTGATCTGCGGCTAAGACATTTGCCATCATTTTCATGCTTGTATAGTTTTTTTCCAGTAGGATGTCTCTTTTGCTTAGACAGGTTTGAGCAAGATCTGAAGACTCTGCTACCTTCTTTACGTTTGTACTGTTTTTCTCCGATATGAATTATCTCATGTTTACTAACATGTGAGCATGGGTTAGAGGCTTTCCCATACTTTATACAGTGAAATGTTTTCCCTACGGTATCTATCATCTTATGTCTACTTAGATTTGACAATTGTGTGAAGACTTTCAAACATTTACTATATTGGAAGGTTTTGGTATGGGCAGCCTTTAAACAGTGGTCAAGTCCACTGTCACATACTTTCTGCTGCTTACACTCAGACACACTTGCACAGTCTTTTGTTAAGTTTAAATTGTCAGGTGCACAGTTTCGATATCTCCTCAGGATTATCTCTGGGAATAAAATATTTGTGTCCAGATCTTGCAATTGGTCTTGCTCAGGATGGTTAGATACTGCTGAAAGAAATTTAAATAAGAGCCATTTTAGCTACTGACTTTCTATCAGAATGGAGTAAATACAAATTACACATTTTATCTGCAACATTGCACCAAGATCATTAGGAAGATGGCATAATGCAGTACACAGGCATGAATTACCTTAAAGGTAAATAAATATTGCATTTAGGAACTGGGAACATAAGTCGTAGAGACACCACAGAGCCTGGGTGCACTGGCTCATGTTTGTAATTCTAGAACTCTGGGAGACTGAGGTGAATGGATCAATAGAGCACAGGTTTTCAAGATCAACCTAAGCAAGAATCGACCACATCTGTCCCATAAATAGTAGTCAGACATGGCGGCACATGCCTGTAATCTCAGCAATTCATGAGGCTGAGGCAAGAAGATTTCTTCGGCCCAGAATATTGAGGATGCCGTGAGGGCGTGAGGGATGACAACACTACACTCTACACAGGGTGACAGAAACTCAGTTCCAAATAAATAAATAAATAGACAGATAAATAAACTTGTGTGGGTGCACATAAAGTATAAAAATGAAAGGCTAGTAAATGTTAATAATAACATAGCCGAGTGCTTTGGTAGGTGCTTGTAGTCCAGGCTGCTTGAGAGGCTGAGGCAAGAGAATCACACAAGCCGAGAAGTGGGAGGTTGCCGTGAGCTGTGACACCATGGTACACTACTACGGGGGACAAAGTAGACACTTGTCTCTAATAAAAGTTGGGGGATATAGTCAAAGTGCTGGAAAAACAAAAACTTCAAAGCCAAACTGCCATTCTAAACTAAGAAAGAATAAATGTCTATCATGATGAACAGATGCTAAAAGCTGCCACATAAGAAATGTCAAAGGAAGGCCCTTTCATTGACAATGAAATCATGCTAGACAACAATACTGAATTATGTAAAAACGGTTAACTAAGTACACCTCCGTGAAATTCTGTATTGTTATAATGATGGTGCACGAAACACTTTGAATCATACTTGAGAGTTCAAAGACAAAAACAGAAAGGGAGCACTAAACTTCTGATAAAGGGTCTACAAGTACACTACAACGAGATGGAATTGCTGACGCCAATAAAATATTTGAGTACAGATGTGAAAAAAAAGTACATTTAAAGATAAAAACTAGTAACTGTTGTTACCAGTTTAAAACATATTTTGAAAATGTGTAATTGCCATGGTAACTACAATAAAAATACCTATAATCACACACTCAAACGATACAAAAAGCAAAGCGTGTTACTACACAAATCAATGAGACACAAATGAAGACAGAAGAGGGAAAACAGAAGCAATGATCAAAGAAAACAGTTAATAAATTGTCAACAGTAAGTCCTTCTCTGTCAAAAATTATATAAATATCCATGGACTAAACGTCACAATCAAATGACAGACACTAAATAAAGATAGGGATTCAAAAAGTAAAAAAAAATCAAGATCCATCTATATAGTATCTAAATGTTACTCATCCTACATGTAATGATAAAAATGGAATAAAAAATTACAGGACAGAAGCTCAGTGCCTGTAGCTCAGCGGCTAGGGAGACAGTCACCTACACTGGGGCTGGTGGGTTCATACCTGGCCCAGGGCCTGCCAAACAACAACGACAACTACAACAAAAAAAAATCTCATAGTTGTGGCAGGTGCCTATAGTCCCAACTAATTGGGAGG